AGGCCAGCTGGGGCTACAGGGAGACCCTGTTTCAAAAAACCAAACCAGGGGCTGGAGAGATGGCTCAGCAGTTAAGGACACTGGTTGTTCTTACAGAAGACCAAGGTTTGAATCCCAGCACCCACATGGCAGCTAACAACTGTAACTCCAGTTCCAGGGTATCCGACAGCCTCTTCTGTCCTCTGCAGGCATTGCATAACACGGGTGCACTTCCTACATGCAGGCAATACACGCATACACATAAAAATAATAAATAAAAGTTAAAAAAAACCAAACCAACCAAAATAAAATAACAACGAAACAACTGCACTTATAATATAAAATTGGTTATTCTTTGTGGTTTGAGAATGATTTTTTTCTATTTTTCTGGTTCTTCCAAACTTTGAAAAAAATGAAATTAAAGTTTATTTATTTAGTGTGGGAAGGGAGCACGAATGTGAAGGTCAGAGAACAACTCTGAGAAGTCAGTACTTAATGTTCACCATGTGGGTTCCAGGGATCTAACTCAAGCTGTTGGGCTTGATGGCAAGTGCCTTTACCCACTGAACCATCTCAACAGCCTTCTTCCAAATGCTTTACAGTTACTGTGTATTACTTTTATAGCAACAAAAACAGTCATCAAAAAGACTTGGGGATTTGGGCTGGGAAGATGGCTTAGTAATGAAAGTGACTGGCATGCAAGATGAGGATCTGAGTTTGATCCCTGGGACCCATGGGGGAAAAGCTAGCATAGCAGTGTCTGCCTGTACTCCCTGTGTTTGCCAGAGAAGAGGAGACAGGAGGACCTCTGGAGCCAATCACAGTTTGGCCCATCTGTGAGTTCCAGGTTCAGTGACAGACTGTCTCAAGAAATAAGGTAGAGGCTTGGGGAGATGGCTCAACAGTTAAAGTGCTTGCTGTATAAGCGAGAGGACCCTAGAAAATGTAAATGCTGGTGGGGCATGGACCTCAGGAGGCAGATCTCTGGAGCAAGTTGGCCAGGCAGACAAGCAAACTCTAGATTTGACTCCCTTGGAGAATAAGATGGAAGAGTGATCCACAGAGACTTCTGACATCAACCTGGGACTGCACACTTATAGCACATACATGCCCACACTCGTGGTGAACACACATAAACACATGCATAACACACACACACACACACACACACACACATACATGAAGAAGAAAAGGGAAGAAAGTGGAGAGCAATTGAGGAAGACACTAGATGTTGACCTCTGGCCTACACACACACACACACACACACACACACACACACACACACAGAGGCATATGTACATGCCCCTGCACATACATGTGCACACAGGAACACATACACCAAAAATATGTTAATTTTGCTAGGTACATTTATTTATTTATTTGCTTATTATTTATTTTGGAGACAGTGTCTCCCTGTAGTCCCAGCTGGCCTGGGACTTTCTATGTAGACCCTTCGATCTCAGAGAGATCTGCCTGCCTCTTCCTCCCCAGTGCAGGGATTAAAGGCATGAGCCACCATGCCTGGCTTATTAGGTGTATTTTGCTGGAACAAGAAAAAAAAAGAGAAGCTTTGCTGGGGGGACTCCTAAGGGTCCCTAAGGCTTCCTTGGACACCTGCCTCTGAGTGTCACTCTCCATTCACCCAGCCCCCCGTCGGGGATCAAACTCAGGTCAGCAGGCTTGCAGAGCAAGCACCTTTGCCTGCTGAGCTATCTCACCAGCCTTATAGGCCTTATTTTATGATCCCTTGTGACCCAGTGCTCCCCCGTAAGGGAAGAGACTAGGGCTCACTTGTTGCCATAGTTTCCCCAATCTTAGTCATTTTGCAATTTGTTGCTGAAACTTTTAGGAATCATAATTTTGATTTTTAAAAAGCTGACCAAAATACCAGGGATATCAGGAAAGGCTGTCTAGGATTATAGCTGGTTTAAGTAATCTCGAGGAACTAGTGTTGACTGAGGCTACTTAAAAGACTTGATGAAGCCTGGTGAATCAGAGAGGAGATGAAGAGGAAACAGAGCAAAGAAGACAGGTGGGAACAACCGGCCTCTCCAGCTCAGACCAATGAACTCCAAGGAAGCCCACAGCCCTTCCAGCACAAGAATGCATCTAAGAGTTCTTCATGCTGCAAATAGTCACTTGCTCATATTTCTTAAACACCCATTATGTGTGAGTTCAGGATAAAAAAAGTAGCTCTACTCATAACCTCAGAACAGGTATTTAAGTCTTTTTACAAATAATGATGCATATGAAATGATATAATCAAGATAACTTTTTTTGTGATAGTCTTACACAGTAGACCAGGCTAGCCTCTAACTCTTGGTCCTCCTAACTCAGCCTCCAGAGTGATGAAATTACAGGCATGCACCACTGTGCCTGGTATAGGGAAGATAATGATAAGGTAAATCGTTAGTTTCTGGAGAAATCTGTAGCACAGGGCGTCACTAGGTCTAAGAGGGATGGTGCACTCAACAGGTGCTATCTGAGCTGAGACCTGAAGAGAGGGTCTTAGCTGGATGAAAAGCAGAGATGGAGAAGAGCCTCTGGTGGAGGGAGCAGAGATGGAGAAGAGCGTCTGGTGGAGGGAGCAGAGATGGAGAAGAGCCTCTGGTGGAGGGAGCAGAGATGGAGAAGAGCCTCTGGTGGAGGGAGCAGCAAGTGTGAAGAGAGAGCACACAGAGTGAGACCTTGCTGATCCTGGAGCAGAAAGGGGGCCTAGCCAGCAAAGCCAGAAATAAAAGTTCTTGGGAATTCAGCCAATATATCTGTCTCTATCCTCAAACACCTTTTCTGGACCTTTCATCTAGACGCCCAGGTCTGAAAGCAGTTTGGGAAGCACTCCCTATCCACACTTTCATCCGAAATGGTAAAGCTGACTTCATTTTGTTCTAGCTGACATTCTTTTTCTTTTTTCTTTGCCTTTTTGAGACAGGGTTTCCCTGTAGCCCCAGCTGGCCTGGAACTCACTATATAGACCAGGCTGGCCTTGAACTCATAGACATCCACTTGCCTCTGCCTCCCAAGTGCTGGGATTAAAGGTGTATGCCAGCATGCCCAGCTCTAGCTGACATTTTTGCTTCACGCTGTGTTTCTGCCTAGTGTTCCCTATAGTTTCAGGGGGTACATTGTTTCTACTATACTGGGAAATTTACAAATAGCCAGGTAGCAGGCCCTCTCCCAGCATCTCCATGGAGCCCATTGTTTGTGCAATTCTAAGAAACTTGTTTTTCCTACTCAAAACTTTTTGTTAGCTGAAAATTTCTTTGTTGGTGGCTGGAGAGATGGCTCAGTGGTTAAGAGCACTGGCTGTTCTTTCAGAGTACCTGGGTTTGATTCTCAGCACCCACATGGTGGCTGACAACCATCTGTAACTCATGATTCCAGTTCCAGGGGATTCGACACCCTCTTCTGAACTCCTCAGGCTTTGCATGCCATGGATTCCCTTACACACATGTAGGCAATACACTCATACGCATAAATAAAAATAAATAAAATATTAAAAAAAGAAAACTTCTTTGTTAACTGACCTGCCCCTGGTCTGGTGTAACTATGGTGATCTAATGTAACTATGGTTATTGGCTCCATCTCTGGGATGATGCAATTGTGGTTTTAGGCTTAATAAACCCCACTCTGCCTCCCCTTGGGGTTGAGAGTTCTTTTGGGCGTTAGCCCTATCTCTGACCACCAGCTAATAAAGGACTTCTAATTCAACCATCAGTATGTAGCATTTCTCTATGCCTCACGCTCTCTATTACACATTGAAAGCATTCATGTATTCCTGCTTTAAAAATATTTGAAGAAGGCTACATTAATCCATTAGCAAAGAACACTGGAGTCAAAACAAACTTGTTTAAAACTGAATACTCAGAATACAATGTATTATGTGGCACATACTTAAATCGTGGAAATCACTGCTGAGTTTCAAAAATGTGTATTTAAACATTTAGTTTTGAAAGCTGGGCATGGTAGTTCATGCCTGTAATCCCAGCACTTAGGAGAGTGAAGCAGAAGGATTGTTACAGACCAGCCTGGAATACCTCCCCTTTTTTGTGGGTCTGGAGATTGAAACTAGGGCAAGGAAGCTTTCTATAACACACTGAGCTATATCTCCAGTCAGCCTCCTAAATATATTTGGGGATGGTTACTAAAGATCTTTTAGGGGCTGGAGAGATGACTCAGAGGTTAAGAGCACTAGCTGCTCTTGCAGAGGACCCTGGTTAGATTCCCAACACCCACATGACAGCTGATGACTGTCCATTACTCCAGTTCCAGGATCCAACACCTTCTTCTGACCTCCAAGGGCCCTATGCAACATGGGTGCACCTACATGCATGCAGGCAATACACTCATACACATAAAATAAAACAATATTTTAATTTAGGCTTAAGCATGAAGGTTAAGAGAAAGATACTCTCAGAGGAAGGCCAGATTTACTCAAGAGCATTGGTGTGGGCTTCAAAGAATTACAGGAAGAAAACCCAAGTGTGAGTATGGCTCCTTAAGGAAGGGTGGTTTAAAGGTTGTATTTTTAAGTGACTGATGCCAAGTTCGCTCTGGTGCTGCAGGGTTGTAATCTCAGTTACTCAGGAGGCTGAGGCAGAAGGATGGGAAATTCTGGTTTACCTGGTCTACATTGTGAGTTCAAGGCCAGCCTGGACAAGTTAGCAAGCATGTGCAAAGCCTTAGGTTCAATTTTCTGAAAAAGGAGGGAGAAAGTAGACAGGGAGGACGGCAAGCCCAGTATGGTAGTAGCCAACTGTAATCCCAGCTTCTCAGGGGGCTGAGGCAGGAAGGCTGCAAGTTCAAGGCCTGCCTGAGCAACTTTGTGAAATCCTATCTCAAAAATAATTAAAAGGGTTGGGGATGCAGTTCTGTTGTAGAAAGGAAAGAAGCGAATGCCAAGGATAATTTTCTCAAGTCCCCGAGGGCTCCTTAGCCTCCCGAGGTTGGTGTGAGGAGAGACTTGGAGGTGGGACCGCGGGGAGACGGAACTGAGCACGAGCGGGACTGGGATCTGCGGACTGTCACAAGTGAGGCACCCTCGACCCGGAAGTTGCTGACGGGAGCTGGGGGCCACTGCAGCCATCGCGCTTTGCGGTGCGGGCTCGGAGCGTGCAGGGCTGACGCGGAGCAGGGAGTTGCGTTCTTCCGAGTCGCGGGTGAGTGGCAGTCTCTTCTTCAGGCAGGGACGCGGGGTGTCCGCCCGGGAGGGCGCGCTCTGTGGACCGCAAACCCGCCGGAGTCCTGTCCGGAGCCCTGCCGGGAGCCCTCCGAAAAGGGACGTCTGTTTTTGCCGGAGCACCGGGAAGTGCGGGGGACAGCAAGGTCCCGTCCGTTCCCGCGGGGGAGGACAGTGAGTGCTCTCACAGAGATATTTGCGGAAAGAGCGACAAGACCGCGCATCAGCCGCTGCCTTCCCCGGGGACTCAGTTTCCCCGCCTGGGAAGGGGAAGGTTGCGGGGATTGACAGCTGGGAGGTTGGGGCGCAGCACGGTCCCCGTCCCTGTGCCGGCCGCCCGGGCGCCCCTACCGAGGGTGGTAAGCTTGTTGTCCTGCTCAAGCCGGGATTGAGTGGGGGAAAAGATACGCAAGTGAAAGCTGACGATTTGCAAAGTCAGGGTTTTCCAACAAGGTAAAAGTGTGTTTTAAAACAGCTGAAGTCTGACTTCATTAGTCGAAAGAACCAAAAGCGTCAGGAGTTTAAGGTATTAGGTACATTTAGGCCAAAGGGTGAAAAATCCTTTTAATTTGAAAAAAATGAAACCTGTTGTTGGGTAGCTACTTGTTCTTTTATCAAGCTCCATGCTGCCAATTGCCTCACTCTGAAGAAAATCTATGTTCGGTGTTAGAATATTAAGACTGTGTCACTGAAGCTAATGAAAGGGACATTTATCTACACTGGGTATAAGGTGCTACCTGTAACCGCAACAGTCCGCTATGGAAGACAGCAGTGTCATCTCTGTTTTACAGATGATGAATAAGGGAAGATTTGCAATTTCTCAGTAATTAAGTCAGTAAAGCACACCAACGTGTGTCTACCATTTACCTTTCAGGAGATTTATGTTTTTGACCTATACATATATGTGTGTGTATGGGACATGCTCTCCCTATAGTCCCATCTGGCCAATAACTTGGTATGTAAACCAGACTGGCCTGGATCACACAGAAATACACCTGCCTTTGTCCCCAGTGTTGGGGCTAAAGACCTGTGCCACCATGCCTGCCTGACCAAAATATTTTGACCTTTAAAAAATTTTAAGGTAGCCAGGCACCCTGGCCCCATAATTCCACCTACTCAAGAAGGCAGAAGTACCATTTGAGCCTCCGTAACATATTCAAGATCCTATATGGAGAAAAAAATTTTTTTTTCCTAAGTGTTAAGATACTTCATGAGCATTTGGAAGTGTACAGAAAGGGAAGGTGTCTTTGCATTGTAATTTTGAAAACTGGCAATTTAAAGGAAGTGTATTTTAGCTTTTTTTTCCTTGCGCTATTGTGTTGAAGTAGAAACTCAAGTGAGACTTGACACCTAGGATTAGTCTATCAGAAATGGAAATCACTGCCACCTCATTCCCAGCTTGCAAACTAGATTCTATAGTAATGATTCATCATTTCTCCACACCCCTCTCTTAAGTACACAGTTGACCGAAACTCGTTTATTTTATATTACTAAGCAAGTTATTTTTAAATCAGTGTTGACAGGTTTCTTTTGTCATTTTAGTTTTTAGAACAACTTTGATGATTTAAAGTTTTTATTTTTATTTATTTACTTATTTATTGTGTGTGTGTGTGTGTGTGTGTGTGTGTATACTCATAGCATGGAGTTTGTGTGGAGGTCAGAGAACAACTTTTGGGAGTGGATTCTCTTCTTCTACTATGTGGCTTTTGGGGATCAAACTCAGGTTGCCAGGCTTGGTGGCATCCCCTTTACCCAATGAGCCACCTCACTGGCCCTCTATTAATGTTTTAAGGATTGAATTTGTTATCAAATATGTTGATTGGAGTTTTCCTAGTGTACTAGTTGCAAGTCCAAATTTAGTACTCAGACTTATAACCTTTTCGTTGAGACAGCTTGCTGTGTAGCCCAGGCTAGCCTCAATTTGAGATCCTTCCACATCAGCCTTCCAAATGGTGGGATTACGAGCACGTGATACCACACCTAACTCGTCTTTTTTCTTCTCTTTCTTTTTCTACTAACTTTTAGATAGAAATTTTGTTTTTCCTTTTCTCCTTTTTAAGATTTATTTTTATTATATGTGTATGAGTGTTTTGCATACATGCATGTAAGCTTACCACATGCATGCAATGCTTGCAAAGGCCAGAAGAGGGCGTCAGAGCCCTTGGAACTGAAGTTACAGATGGTAACTTCATGTGGGTGCTGGGATCCAAACCCAGGTCCTCTGCAAGAGCAGCCAGTGCTCTTAACTACTGAGCCATCTCTCCAGCTCCGCTTCTCTTAAAGCTACATTTGTTGTGGTTTTAACCTTTCAGTTGAGTTATTTTCCTCTAGAGGAAATTCATATATATATACATATATATTATATATTTGCTACATGAATCAAAAGGTTTAGTTCACTCATAATTGCTGTACATTAAGGATTTGGGAGGGGAGTAAGGTATTGCACCATAGTGTCATATCTTTGAAGATTATTTTAGGATTGAAAATGTATAAAGAAGTACGATCTTGAAACATTTAATACAGAAAACATGGTCAAACATAGTTTTACCTAGTAGCTCAGGCTAGCCTTGAACTCCATATGTAGCTGGATGACCTTGAACTTCAAATCCTGTCTCTACCTCTCAAGTGCTGAGATTACAGGCATGGCTGTCACACCTGGTTTATATGATGTTGGGGATCAAATATGTGTGCTAGGCAAGCACTGCACTGACTGAGTTTCATCCCCAGCCCTGCCTTTTTTGTATTTCTAGTGGTAAATTAGCTTACAGGTAGCATACCAATCTTACAGAATTCATGCATTCTTTAGTTATAAACTGGCACATCTTTTTTTAAATGTGTATGAGTGTTATACCTACATGTAAGTATGTGCCAGGTGCCCATGGAGGCCAGGAGAGGGCATGTGATCCCCTGGAGCTGAGTTACAGGCAGCTGTGAGCTGCCACATGGGTACTGGGAACTAAACTTGGGTATTCTGCAAGAGCAGCAAATTGCTCTTAACTGCTGAGGCATGTCTCCAGCCTATGAAATTTCTTTTTTTCCTGTTTTTAATTTTTTTACAAAATATTACTTTATTTTATTTTTTGGTCTTTTTGAGACAGGGTTTCCCTGTAGCCCCAACTGGCCTAGAACTCGCCATGTAGACCAGGCTGGCCTTGAACTCACAAAGATCGGCCTGCTTCTGCCTCCCAAGTACTGGGATTAAAGGCGTGCACCACCACGCCCAGCCTGAGACCCTCTCTTAAAAAATAAAAATAAATAAATGTAAAAAACAAGACTGGGGCCTAGAGAGATGGCTCAGTGGTTAAGAACACTGGTTATTCTTGCAGAAGACCCAGGTTGGAATCCCAGCACCCACATGACAGCTAACAGCTGTCCATAACGCCAGTTCCAGGGGATCCAACAGCCTCTCTGTCCTCCGCAGGCATTGCACCACACGGGTGCACTTACCTATATGCAGGCAATACATGCATACACATAAAATTAAAATAATAAATAAAACATTTAAAGAAACCAAAACAACAAAAAAAACAAGGCTGGGCATGTTGGCACATACTTTTCATCCCACCACTCAGGATGCTGAAGCAGGGACATCTCTGTGAGTTCTAGGCCAGTCAGGCTACACAGTGAGACCCTGTCTCAAAGAACCAAAATTTTTTTGAAAATAAAAACAAAGGAAAAAAACCCTTAATCATAAATTATTCTGCTTAATTACTCAAATGAGTTGTATATACTAAATGTTCATTTAGGTTTTTTTAAAATTTGGTTTTGTTCTTAATGACAGCTTTGTTGAACTGTAGTTGACATACCATAACATTTACCCTTTTCAAGTGCTCAGTGTTTTCAGGGTGGTTACAGTGTTATGCAACCATCACCACTATCCAATTCCAGAACATTTTCATCACCTCTGAAAGCAACCCAGCACCCATCAGCAGTCACTCCCCACTCTCCTCCCTCATTCTGACACCACTTTAAGGATTTGCCTGCAGTGGGCATTTCATTTAGAGAGTTGTCCATACAAGTTCAATGGAACAAATTTTGAGAAGTTATTTGTAACCTGAGAAGTGCTGTTCGTTCCATCCTTTGTACTGATTTTCATGTTACTTGAGTAGATCAGTTTTTAATCTGCCCAGGTCCTTTTCTCTTTGCTGTTCATGCAGTAAATAAACCTGCTGACGTGCTGTGTTTCCTTGTTGGTGACCTTTGCTCTTCACATGTCTCAATGATGTGTTCATAGCGTTGTGTAACCTGTTGTCAGGGCTCAGGTATCTGTTTGTAGCTTAGTAACTTTATTCTTAGTTGGGTATTTTTATTTTTACTTCTATTTTAAAAAACAAATAGCTAATTCTATGTTAATAATTCCTAGCTTGTTTTAAGGTTCTTAAAAATCATAAATAACTTTAGAAATATAAATATCTTCTTTTTTGAAGTAGAGTTTCTTGTGTAATTAGATTATTTTTTGGTGTAAACTTAGTAACAGCAAACTGGCACCACCTTTATGTGGATCCCTTTCTCCTTCAAGGCCCCCTGACCCACCCTCCACCATTTCTTATAGCTCTCCCAACCACCTTTATTTCCAGTGAAGACTTTGCCTCTTCATTCAGTCTTACTTTGTATAGCAACGCCCTCTACTTTTCTAGATGACTTGACAGCCTGTCACTGTGGACAATGCACCTTCTAGCCTGGCTTCCTGAACCTTTCACCTTGATTTCTCTTTATCTGTCCAGGCCAGTGCCAGACTTTGGAGCATGCTACCACCCAGACTTGAACGTCTTTGAACCCTGAACTCCCCGTCACGCTGGCCCGCTGCTTGCCCACCTTTTGCCTCCCTCCCCTTTTACTGCAACACTCGTGTTCTAACTGATATACTGCTCTCCTGTTCTGTGAGAAGCCTTGCCTCTGCTCACCACCTACCTTTACCCTAGGTCCCCTTTACCTAGGATCAGACTCTTCACTAAAATCTTCAAATCTTCTTCCTCCTGC